TTGAGGAAGGAAAGAGCTTGAAGTTTCAAGGTATAAAAATATTTGCTGGAGAATAGTGAGAAAGAGAGGGACTCAGTATGAAATTGCAGAGGTGGTTAAGGAGATAATGCAGATCACCCGCAGGCCATGCTGATGAATTTTATCCCAAGAGCAATAGGAAGGCTCTAAGCAAAGATACACTTAACGGATTTCTCTTGCTCCTAGGGGAAGAGTGAATTGTGGGGAGCAAGAATAGAAGTGGGCGACCAGTTACACTTTTGTATTATGCAAATGCAGAATATGATGGTGGCCTTGACTAGAGTGACAGCAAATGTGGAGAAAAAAGGAAAGATCTGAAGTATATTTCAGATATAACCATTCTACAGTTTCCAAACTTTTTCCAAACAATAGGTGTGATGTGCTCTCATTATTTTGTGTTTCTGATTACTGAGCCTCACATTTCTTAATGACATTTATGTTTCCTCTTTTTAAATTGCTTATTCATATTCATTGCTCATTTTCCTATTTTGTTTCTGATTAGTAATGAGCCTGACATTGCTTAATGACATTTGTTTCCTCTTTTTAAATTGCTTATTCATGTCCATTGTTCATTGCTCTATTTTTCTTGCTGATGGTTTCTTGTATATGATAGGTATCAATTCCTTGTCAGTTTTAGACATTTCAATTTTTATCTTCCATGAAGTCTGTTAATTTTGACAGATCAGTTCATCAAACAAACGTGTTATCATCTTTAGAAATTACCAATTTTATCAGTCTGGGTCCATTCAGGAGAGAAGAACTGCATAGTAATTTGAACAGGAGAGGAATTATTTATTTAAGGACATATTAACTATAACAGGGGACTGGAGTAATAAGGATTGGCTAATAATCAAAAGAGCTGGTGTGGCTCAGTGGCCCGCACACCAAAGGGTTGTAAGTTCAATTCCCAGTCAAGGGCACGAACCTGAGTTGCAGGTTCGATCCCAACTCCAGTTGGGGTGTGTGTGTGTGGAAGGCAACCAATCAATATGTCTCTCTCATACTGATGTTTTTCACTCTTTCTCTCTCTCCTTCTTCCCTTCCATTCTCTCTAAAAATCAATGGAAAAATATCCCCCGGTGAGAATTAACTAAATAAATAAAAGAATCAAGAGAGAACTCTAAAAGAATACAGGATTAGCAATATAAGGAATAGCCCCTACCTCTAAGATTGATTGAGATAGTGTCCAATAAAGATCACCCCAGAACTGAGGTGCAGACCTTTTAGAAAAGACGTTCCTGTGGCTCACTAGGTGGCAGGAAGCCACTGCGGTGCTGTCCTGGCAGAAGTTGCCAGAAATTGCCTGGCCAGTGTGGTTCAGCATTGACCTATGAACCAGGAGGACAAGGTTTGATTCTGGATCAGGGCACGTGCCTAGGTTGTGGGCTTGATCCTTAGTAGGGGGAGTGCAGGAGGCAGCTGATCAATGATTCCCACTCATCATTGATGTTTCTCTTTTTCTCCCTCTCCCTCTCAAAAAAAAAGTTATATATAAACAAAACAAAAACAAATCCACAAAACAATAAAAACAAAAGGGGGGTGGGGGAGACGCCACACTTATCAGTGAATTATGGTGAAACAGAGCAGGTGTTGATCAGATGAAGTCACAGAACTGAGAATGTTTGAGTGAGTCCAGACAAGTTCCAAATTGCTGGGCTAAGCTCTCACGTTTCTGGTGGGAGATAAGAAGACAAACCCAGTGCCCCGGAAGGATTGGTGGCTGGGCATGAGAAAAAAAGGAAGGGAGCAAGCCAGGAGAAAAGGCAGTGGGTGGAGAAAAGGTGGGGAGGGCTGCATGCCTACTCTCTGTGGGACTTTGGTGTCTGCCCCCAGGTTTCCTCTAAGCTCTTCATTCGCTTGCTAGTTCCTGGATTATCTCCCTTCCTGAGTCTCAGAGGGATTCCCTGTGGCTCCAGGAGGTGGCAACATTTATGAATATGTTTG